TCCCCAGATCTGTCGATAGACTTCATACATACCTTTCCCATGCAGTTTGGTGGTCGTACTTTCCGGCTTCAGCAAGGAAAATCTGATTTTGCCTTGGAGCAGGCACTGGTCCTTTTATGATCCATCCGAAAATGGTTTCTTAACCGAGGAGAGATCCAGAGATGTTCGGCCGGGTACCCCTTAGGAGTAACGACCCAGATCAGAATATCTATTTGCGCGCTGAATCGGACAAGATGGGAGGTTTCCAGTTAACGGCGGAAGAACAAAGGCAGTCGTGTTTATTTGCAAGCTAGGCCTGTTCGGAGAACGAATGGTAAACTGACAGAGCTCTTTGGATTCAGGAACAAATTTCTTCTGGCCAGAACTTACTGTATTTTCGAGGACACGTCCGGCAGGATGTCCATGTAGGGAGCGAAGTCCCACTCGGCATGTTCTTCCCACTGGGTTTCTCTAGTAGATCTCCTCCAGCACTTCATCTATTCTGCGGATTTGCCCTGTCGGTAACGTCCCTTAATAATGGGCAAGAGCTTGTTTTCGGCGTTCTTTTTATCTGAACTGACGTCCTGCAGGGTCTTTTGGAGTTTTCCTTCCATTTTTAATTTTTTGTATCCACACCGCTTTTTCAAGAACACCGCCAAAGATCAAATTTCTTAATCTTTGCGCCGCAGCTAACGGCGTTCATCGAAATTCGCTCGCTAAATCTGGTATTTTTCTGGTATTTCCTTAGCTTATCTGAAAACCGCGCTGAAAAACACACCCGACGAAAAGTCTTAGCGCGATTTCACTCTGGTTCTATGGTTAGCTCGCGGTTTTCGTCAATGTGACTACTAGGCTTTTGTAATAATTTGAGGGGGGAAAATACCAATTGGATTGGTGGATAGTATTTAATTAGTATTATTGTCACTGGTGGAGTACTGGTACTGGTTTGCTCTGGAATAATAATCTGCGGCGGAAAAATTAGCAATTACCAAATAATTTTGTAGATGGTGGATAGTCTTTAATTCTTATTTAAGCCCGGAATTTCGGAAAACTGCGTATAACCTAGTACCAAGATCGGCTAAGAGTTCCACCAGTCGAATAATCTTATTCTTTGTAGGGTGACTAAAGTTTCGAACGGAAAACAAATTAATTGAATCAATTTAAAAGAGAAGAGTCTACTAGTGCACAACGAAATTAAAATAAAAGTAAATGGAATGTTCACCGAATGATTTTACTTACACTCAGCGTCATATCTCGCGCCATCTCTAGCTCAGCACTATTGAGGAAGTGGGAGCCGAATTGGGAACGAGGTTGTTTCGAATGATGCTGCAAGAAGTCGCCCAGCATCCAGCATTGGTTCTCCAGCTGTCCCTTAGAGGGCGCTCTTTCTTCCTCCTCTCTATAGAAGCCGGAGGCCCGCTTGCTTCTATAGAGAGGAGGAAGAAAGAACGCTTTAGCTACCAAATAGCTGGTGGAGATGGAGTCCTGTGGTTCCCCAATGGAGAGCTCGTCGGAGATCGTTCTGGTGGTTCTGCTAAATAGAAAATTCTATGAGTACAACGTAACCAAATTCATTTGGCAAGAACTTACTTTATTTGCGGACACGCCCCGCAGGATGATCACCTACTCTGCAAATTTTCCCTGTTGTGGTATCGCTTTCTGACGGTGAAGCCCCAAAATAATATGCAACAGCTTGGAATATGCGTCCTTTCCCAACTGCACAGACCTTCTGCAGTCATTTTTTGGGGCTTTCCATTCAATTTTAATTTTTAGTTTTCACACTGTTTTTAAACCAACACTGCCAAAGATTAAATTTCTTATTCTTTGTGCCGCGGCTAACTGCGTTCATCGAAATTCACTCACTTAATCTGGTATTTTTTCTTGTATTTCCTTAGCTCATCTGATTACCGCGCTGAAAAACAGACCCGAAGAAAAGCATTAGCTGCGTATTTGCCTTTCGCTCACTCCTGTGGTTAGTTTGTAGATGTGAGTACTAGGCTTAAAGGGACAAGCCAAAGCGGACAAATGTAGGCTGGAATGCACGGGAATATGGAGTTTGAATGCGGTTGTTGTACGAAGAAAATAGCACACTGACCAAATAAGTTTTTCACGTCGGTTGGTGGATTTTTATTGGATTATATTTAATAGGATGGCCGACGGAAAACTTTAATTAGTGATGTATTTTGAATTTAACAAGTTCGGTTTTATATATTTATTCATTATTGCCTGCGGGTATGTCTTGTGATGGACGTTTTCGATTTTGTGTGGACTGTACTTGGAGAGAAAAATAGGTGCAAATTTTAATGCGGCAGCGGATACATAATGAAAGCATACTGAGACATTTTTGGGGGCCTTAACGGGCAGAACACTGGAAATTAGTTGTTTCTCACTGTATGCTTGGCATATACTTGCACAATATTTCTGATGCTTGGGATTTTTATACCCTTGCAAAGGGTATAATGATTTCAGTCAGAAGTTTGCAACGCAGTGAAGGAGACGTTTCCGACCCCATAAAGTATATATATTCTTGATCAGCATGACAAGACGAGTCGATCTAGCCATGTCCGTCTGTGCGTCTGTCCGTGTGTCGGTCCGTTTCTACTTCAACTAGTCTCTCAGTTTTAAAGCAATCGGGCTGAAACTTTCCCAAAAGTCTTTTTTCTTTTGCAGGTAGTATATATATCATCATCATCAGGAAAATAACTTGTCTTTTTAATAGACACAGGTGCAGAAATAACCATTTTAAAAAGATTCCGACGTTTTTCAATACATCCAAAATAATCATATACAACGAATAAGCCAATATGTTTCCAACTCATTAGGACTATCTTACATTTATATACAAACCACTAAATATATAATTCCATATGATTTCCTTATTGTAAATTGAAAGTACTCAATTCCTGGAGTACTAGGAATCGATTTCACTAAAAAATATAACTGTCAACTAGAGTACAAACCATCAGAAGACTACCTTGTAATTAGACCAAGTAATTTAATACACCTGATTTATGTTTCAATAACATTCAGTTCTGGCAACAACCCCATAATTCTGCCAGCAAGATCCAAAGTGGTCCGAAAAATCGAACTTGCCTCAGTGGAAGATAATGTATTGATTCCAAACCAAGAAATTCAGCATGGAATTTATGTTGCAAATACCATAGCGAAATACTAAAATACCTTCATAAGACTGCTTAATACAACAAATACCGATTAAGTAGTTAGTATAAATAATTTGAAATATGAACTCCTTTCGAAGTACGATGTAGTAAAAAAAGATTTGGGTAACAGAGATAAGTCTGTTTTAACTCAACATTTAAAAAACTTTTCTCCACAACTTTATACAAAACTAACAACAATTTGCCCTCAAAATAGCTATGTATTCGGACTAGACACCGAATCGAAAGCCACAAATAATTTCTAAAAGTATAAATTGAGATTGAAGGATGATGAACCAGTATATATTTATACTATAGAGGTCCTCATAGACAAAAATATGGAATTCAAGCACAAGTACACAAAACTAATTAATTACGAAATAGTTGAGCCATCAGTATCTGCTTATAACAGCCCACTCTTGTTAGTACCAAAGAAGTCACTTCCAAGTTCCGACAAAAAAAAAGTGGCGATTAGTAATTGACTATCGTCAGATTAATAAAAAACTGTTGTCTGATCGATTTTCACTCCCTAAAATTGATGATATTTTAGATTGTCTGGGTAGAGCAAAACATTTTTATGGCCCTGACTTAATGTCAGGTTTTCATCAAATTGAACTTGAAATAAGCTTACGAGATATAACATCTTTTTCAACAAGCAATGGTTTATATCGCTTCACGCGTATACCATTTGGCTTAAAAGTAACGCAAAATTGCTTTCAGAGAATGATGACTATAGCTTTCTCTATTCTTCTTCTGTTGTTCCGAAAAAACATATTCTTAGAAACTTAACTGATGTTTTGGAAAGTAGGAATGTAGGAAATATAACCTAAACTTACATCCTGAAAAATGTTCATTTTTTGAACGACGACAAAAAATACTACGTATTTTAAATTTACCCAGTCCCACATTATGCGGACAGCGATAGACGATTTGTTGGATTCTGCAATAGACGTTTCATAAAAAATTTTGCCGACTATTCTCGTCACATAACAAGATTATGTAAGAAAGATGCCAAACTGAACCGAAATCTGTTACAACACCCAGAAAAGACTTTTGCATAACTACAGATGCAGCAAGTAAATTAAAACAAAAATGGACTCCAACTCCCAGTGGCATACGCATCAAGACCATTTACAAAGGGTGAAACAAAAGTACAACAGAACAAGAATTTCCAGCAATTCATTGGGCAATAACACAATTCATACCATAAGTTTATGATTCACACTTCACTGTCAAAACAGATCACAGAGCACATACGTAATTGTGTTCACTGGTAAGTCCCAGTTACAAACTCACACGTATGAGACTTGAATTAGAGGAGTATAACTTTAAGGTAGAGTATCTAGAGCACGGGTCGGCAGCGGCTTATCTAGTGAGCATCCTCTGCTCGCTCACGCAAACTTTGTGTTTGTTACACTCACACTAATGCAAGGCAAACTTGTGATGGTATGTGTGTGCCGACCACTCCCACCCAGTCGTAAATGACAGCATTCCAGCACGCGTTCTTTCATTATGAAATGGCATCAAAAAGGTGTTCCGGAAGTGATGAGTCTGTCCATTGTTTTTACACGGATGCGGGACAAAAAAGAATGCACCCGTTGCATGCTTCTGGAAGCATATATCTGGAATGCACCTGGAAGTAACAAACTAAACACATTCTGGGTGTACTCTTTTTTAATGCACCTGGAAGCAACATACTAAACACATTCTGGGTGTATTATTTTTTAATTCACCTGGAAGCAACATACTAAACTCCTTCTGGGTGTACTCTTTTTTAATGCACCTGTAACATGTACCCAGGAATGCACCTAGAAGCATTCAAAAACGAAATATCTGGAAGTTTTCCCCAGGAATACATAAAACTGGATTTCAATTTCATATTTATTTTCATTTCAATATTCAAAAACGCAACTAATTTTTAATCGGAGTAACTCCCCTTCTGTACGGTGCTTTGGTGCTTCCTTCTTGTTTATGTACTTTTGTCATTTACGCAGTTCAGTCCTTGGTGTGCCCATTCATTTTTTGCGATTCTGAAAAATATAAAGCAAATTGAATATGAAATATGTGTATATACATTACAAATATACAATATGTTTATATTGTATGTACAATTTACATACAAATAGTTATTATTTTATTTGATTAATATGTTTTTAGTTTGAATGTTCAGTGTACATGTACTGTGTTATTTTATTGTGTTCATATTGAACTAAATTATCTACACTTTACTTACCTGTGAAAATATTGATGTAAAATTGGTGGCAGAAAGCAACAAACTTTTTCAAAACACGTGGCACGAACTTCACTTTTCAGAACTAAAAATGCAACTGACGAGAAATGCAAGAGACAAGAAAAACCGCTCGCTTCCTTGCATGTTCCCTTTTGTCTTTATTATTTGTTTGTCAAGAGAACAGTTCCGAAAAAAGACGATTGTAAAAAAAATGCGCATCGGCAACCTTCGGGTTTGAGTTTGGTTTTTTTACATTCCCACTAAAATGCACCTGGATGCACTATATTGAAATACACCCAGATGGCACCCAAAAGACTGCCCCCAGCACGCACATTTTGCTGGGTAAATTTGCATGCGTGCTGTTTTGCGTAAAAAAGATACGACCCAGAACTATTTCATTTGGAATACGTTCCCGAAACGGGTGTTTGGGCATGCTTCTGGATGCATTATTCTGAAACACTTCTAGAAGGCACCGCAATAGAATGCACCCAGCACGCACATTTGCCTTGGAAAATTTGCATGCGTGCTGTTTTGCGTAAAAAAGGTACGACCCAGAACTATGTTTTTTTAAAACACGTTCCGCAACTTACGACTGGGCTGATCTAGAGGGTAAGGATAATTATATAGCAGATGCGTTGTCAAGAATAACAATCAAAGAACTACAAAGTACTACCAGCAATATAAATAAAGTCACTACAATATATTAAAGAAGATAAAAATCCTGCGTAGGCCTAGGCAAACTATAGAAAAATGCTTAAAATCCGAAGGTATATAATGCCATTAACAATGATGAAATGCGAAAAGTAGTGACATGGCATGTACATAACAAAATATGTTTTTTCAAACGTATAAATAAAAATTTTTGCAAGATATGATGTCAGCGACCTTTTCCCGAATTATGTCAGTTTTTCAAAAGGCTTGAATTGTAACCTCTACGGCACACCACCATTGTTCGTACCCAAAGGTGCTCAACATGACCACACCCAACAAATCAAGCAGTAGCCAAGTTGGGAACAATACCAGGCGCTCAGTAGCACCCACTGCATATGAGAATTGCTTATCAGCATATTATATGCCTCACTAACTCACCGTCTCACCAACTCAACGGCACACTGACCCGCCAATGCAGTCAGCACATTTTTCAGTGTCAGCCAAACTACGCAAAGCCAACTACGCAAACTGCTACCATAATCATAATTCCCTGATCTACTTTAGAATATAGCTTACTTCACTAATCATTACACTAAACTTCCGTGTTCCAAGTAGTATATAAACATGTGCCAAATGAAGAATAAAACAGTTATCAACTCATCTCATAACTCGGCGGCTCTACTTCCTACCTCTGGGAATAGGGCTCGTAATACACTATCTCCACTAGCAGCTTACCCAAGTTAGCTCAACCTCAGCGCAGTTCCGCATCGCCTGTGGTCCGGCATCGCAGTAACCGTCGTTACCATTGCCGCGACGCGATTCGTCCTGCCAGCAAAGCGTCCCCGTGCCAGCGAGTGCTCAGTACCCCCTTGTCCCGCGGTGTGACCCGGAAGTGTCTACTTCGGTTAGGCACAAACAACCACCAAATAGTTGGAACAGTAGAAAGAAGTCATAGAACTCTCAATGATTACATACGCATATTGGTTGAAAAAACTTATTGGGACGTGTGGCTTCAATATTTCGTACATTGTTTCAACGACACCCCCTATGGCACATAAAAATTGTCCTTTGAGTTTGTCTTTGGAAAAACTAACAATTTGCCAAAGCATTTTAATAGTATAGATAACATAGAACAATTTATAATATAGAAGATGGAAGTAGCATATAAAAGAGCTAGAATAATGATTAAAGAGCATAAGATAAACATAAGGAAATATATGATAAAAAAGTAAGAAATATAGATTTATTCTTAGGAGATAAAATTTTACTAAAATACTAATCTGAGCATAAGTTAGACTTTAAATATACTGGTCCGTATACAGTAACGAAAATAGGAGAAAGGGATAATATCACAATCTCCAGCAGTAAAAATAAGAAACAAACAGTTAATCAAAATAGATTAATTATTTTTATTTCATAATCACTTTACTTTTTCTAAAAACATTTGAAGTTTGGCCATTATTTTTGCCAATTTTGTATTCATATCGACCAAGCTACGAAAGTTGACAAACTTGGGGAGGAGAAATCGATCTTTTTGAAAAAATGTATGGCTGGTACACAGGGTCTAACGCATTGTCTATGACTTAACCAAAATATGTTTAATTTTTTAATACATTTTTTCCACATTTTAATCAACTTTGTGATTGAGTGAGAACAAGATTTCATTCTTTGTATATTATATATAAAGCCGAAAACTTCATGGTCTTCGAAAAAAACGTAAAACAAATATTTTAAGTAGGAGGTGAACATTTAAAAATATTGCAATATCCCGCCATAAAAATGGCGTCAGATAGTTTCGATTAATCGACAACAGCATTTTAGGTGACGGACTTTTTTTGACTTTTCTTACGATATATCGTGTCTGTGTTCCGTTTTCCTATTAGCGAAATATACAATAACTATGCATTCAAAGTTTAAACTGATCACCCGGAAGAGCACTTTGTAATGGCTGCGGGATGTCGGGTTAATACCCAAAGACCGCTGTTGCAATAAACATAAGCAGAGCACGAATTTTCTAGATCATAAATCAATATGTGGTGAATTCAGATGCGTAAAAAGGGAAAAGCATAACCATTCCAAAAGTGTTGCGGACAACACGTGGCTGGAAAAGTGTCATATATCTCCAGCATCATGCATCATTATAACGTATTGCTTTGCAAATTATTTTACGTTTGGCCAACCTATACGGGAATGTAGCGTAAAAGAAGATCAAACTGTTTTCTTAGGAACTGTGGCAGACAGATTTTCTTTTTTCCGGGAAGTTTGTGTGCCAGTTTTGGATACAGATTTTGAGGATCAGGGCCCTATTGAAGGTGTAAGCAAAGTTGTAGAAATATAAATATATATAAATTGGCAGACGGAAGTTCGAAAGAGGTCGCGTTGTCGAAGGTTTGTGGATTTTGGGACTTATAGAGCGAAGGTGTCCCGAAAATTATTGATTAGTAATCTGTCCCGACAATAAAAGGGACAAGGACATCCTGTTATCCTTAATAAAAAAAAAAGATAAACCAGGGACCGAAATACATAAAGATTGCAGATACCCCTTATATTGGTTTAGAAGCCGAGGGATATATTTCCAAGACCGTTAACCACTCGGAACAATTTGTGGATTCGGTAACCGGTGCTGATACCCAAAATATTGAGTCTTCCTGGCGGTCAATGCGGCGTAATCTGTTTCGTGGGTCGTTCACAAAGCCAGGTTGGACGAGCATTTTTGTGAGTTTTTGTGGCGACGACAGGCTACAAAGCTTCAGCTTGACCCGTTTTCATTACTATTGAAAGACACTAAGAAAAAATATCCCGAAAACTAATTTAATTGTTTTGCTATTTAAAAAAGAAAAGTCCCAAACAAAAAAACAAAATTTACAATATGAAAAAAAAAAAATTTACAAAAAGTAAAAAGGTAGGTATACACATACATACTGAACATACTACTCAATGTATGCTAGTTTTTAAGCACTGATGATCCCTATGACATGCCTATGTTAAATTTAGCACTAATTTTCATACAAATTGAGCGCTCAGTGATGAACTTTTTGCAATTATTGAGTCCCCTAAAGGGGCTTCAGATCCAAAAAAAAAATTTCACTTATGAATCACTGTTGCCGCCATAAATTAAATTTAGTTTGTAATTTCTTATGTTATGTATAAGCACTTGATAATTCTCGAGGTACCGATATAAGAAATATCGACCTCATTTATCATTTTAAGAACCATCCCTAGAACCGCCAGAAGCGAAAGAGAAGAATGAAAAAGACAAAGTTTTTAAGCGTGCTCCGCAACGCCAAATGTAATACACATTGATTCGGAAGCTAAAATTTAAATATAGTTTATTTCAAAAACGTAGCTAACCGCTATCCGTCTGTGCCTTCAATTTGGTAGTGTGGGCTGCTGTAAAACCAATTCAGTTTTCGCTCTCAACATTCTTAAAAACTTTGTACACGCGTGGTTGCCGTTCTAACTTTACAGTTACTAAGCGACGAATTTTCAATTAGCCATAATATTGTGAAATAGCGATCGCATCCCTTTCTTGAACGTTAGGTGAGAAAAACGTAATTTGTAAACGGAACCAACAAAACCCCAGAAATTACGCACACAACTACAATTCTGCCACACGCCAAGCTTACATAGCCTTAAAAGCGAACAGAGATGAGCAAAGAAGTGTGTAGAATATGCAAGAAAAAAGCGAAAGGAACTGAAGAAAGCTGGCCGACAATTGTGACAGTTGGTACAACTTTCGCTGCGCAGGCGTCGACGACGACGTCGAGAACAACGATTGGAATTGCGATCCGTGCCTTGCTGGAGGTAGCTCCAAAAACCCACCTGGAAGGATATTACGATCACCGCCTCCAAATCAGTTCGACAACTCCAACATATTACCAAGCCAAAATAAGGTCGAGCAGCTAGTGGACGACCTCATCGATATGGACAAAACCAGCGACGGACACATTATTCCCTATGATAATTCTACCGCGAACAAAAACAAGCTAATGCTCGATATGCTGGAAGAAAAAAGAGTTTCCGAGCAGAGATTTATCAAGGAGAAGTATAAAATTTTACTGCAAATGAATACGCTAAACGTGTCGACAGACGAGCTGTTTCAGGCGACGCCCGCATCACCGTCCAGTTCCCAAATCGCCGCAAGACAAGCTATACCCAAGGAGCTTCCTTCGTTCAGCGGGGATTCTGAAGAATGGCCAATGTTTATCAGTACATTCGAGCACAGTACTTCCGCAGCAGGGTTTTCCAATGTTGAAAACATGCTCCGTCTACAAAAGTGCCTAAAAGGTAGGGCACTAGAAATGGTGAAGGATAAGCTTCCACTTCCTAGCCTAGTTCCGGAAGTAATGAGCACGCTAAAAATGTTCTTTGGCAGACCCGAGCACATCCTGGAGAGGATGATCGACAAGGTGAGGAAGCTTGCGCCACCCAAAGAAAAATTGGAATCCATAATAGAGTACGCGCTCGCTGTACGCAACATTTCCGCAACGATCGAAGCATGCAGCTTAACAGCGCACTTAAACATCCCAATGTTAGTCAAGGAGCTTGTAGACAAACTTCCAAGTAACCACAAACTAAACTGGGCGATGCACACCCGCGACGAATCGGTCCCTCCCATTAAAGCTTTCAGCGACTGGCTCTACAAAATAGCGCAGGCGGCATCGACTGTCGTGACACCGTTTTCTCACAGGACAAGTTCTGTGAATACCCATGATAGATGCGCAGCCAGTTCGAGCCAGGTATTTACAACACAGCAACAGACTAATCCAAAATGCATTTCATGCGAATCCACAAATCATTGGGTAACACAATGCGAACAATTTAAATCCAGCGCCGTAGAACAGGGATGGAAAGTCGCTAAAGCAGGAAAGGCCTGCTTTCGATGCTTGAAACTTCATCGAAACAATTGTCGACCAAAGGATTGCGGAGTAAACGGCTGTACAAGAAAGCATCACCCTCTACTCCACTCGGAAATTGTTACCAATTTAGCCAACGAAACGGGATATCAAAGACATGTAAGCACCAAGGCGATGTAGAAGGAAACCAGTTCTTCCGAATCGTACCCGTAACCCTACACTATAATGACAAAAAAATCGAAGTTTTCTCCTTCCTGGATGAAGGATCATTTGTAACCCTAATAGTCGCATCAATTTTTGAAAAGCTCGGTATAAAAGGTACACCTTTACCGATTTGTTTACAATGGACTGGAGAAACAACTCGGTTTGAAAATACTTCCGTGCGAGCATCAATCCAAATCTCAGGCGTTAGCTCAGAAAAACGTTACTGGCTCAACAACGTTCAGACTGTCAAACATGTTGCACTCCCAAAGCA